AGTTACTGTTCTTTTGAAATTTTCAGGATTATTTATTCTATCTTTAGACAAGCTAATATATTATGGATATACGGTGCGTTCCAGTTAAAATGTTTTCTTAGATTAATCTATAGTTCTGCTGTACTGTCAACATACCTCTTCGTTGAATATATTCTATGTCGGAAATATCCAAACTTTGCATTCTATGGTGGGGCCTCTCCGCGAGCGACCTCCGCAGCGAATTAGACCTGTTAGAAGCCCCTTCATCTTCCGCTTCCAGCAAGGGATGTTCCAGCATCCAAGTGGCTAACGTATTGACCGTATGCACGTCTAACGTACCCGTGGTTTTATTTTCCTGCATAGCCTTTTGAATGTGCCTGAGAGTGAAGCCCATTTCTTGCAGAGGAGCTGCTATCGGCGGAGGAGGGGGGGAAGTTGCGGCCATACGCCTTATTCTCCATAAATTTTCTTCGGATTCGGACCCGCAGAACAGCTGGCTCCGTTTTTGACGAGCTGATTGGAAATATTATTAAGGGTTCGTGGAGAATATACAGTTGGGATAAGGAAAGATTACACATGCATCATCAATTTGTACATCACATATAAGTCAACAGAATAAAGAAAACGAAAAAACTTGACTACTGTTCTGAACAACCTAACAATCCAATGACGACTGCTTTTATTTTTGACATATGACAATTCAAATAATGAGGAACATTAGTCAGGACCATTCCTAATTTGAGGTTAAAACTTATAATCTAATATATAAAATTCTCGTATCACAGTGTCAGTTGCCATACCCCTCGGAAACGGCTCAACCGATCTTCATGAAATTTTATATGTATATTCGGTAGGTCTGGGAATAGGTTTCAGTTTATTTTTCATACCCCTAAGGGAAAAGGGTGTTCCACCCCATATATTACTTTTTCCAACTGAAGGTTAGATCGCTCCGTAGTTTGAATCCATCACGGCTGTGCAACGGCACGCGATAAGTCGTTAAAAAAAATATGAAAAACGTTGTCGAAGCCAGCATTTTTAATGGCAAGTTCCGAGGTGAGTTCCGAGTATCGACCAACTCCATCATATAATGATAAAAATTTCAAGTTATAATATTAAAATACACTAACGTTACATCAACAAATACAGTTACAATTAAAAACAAGATGAAAATAATTGATTTGTTAAAAATTTCAAGTTTTGTTTTGGTGACATTTAATTTAAGCATATTTATCTCTGACCATCTGGCCGTACTATTTGACATGGCTGATGCTTTGAGTGAGGGTTCCGATGAATTAGTTCTTGTGACGACTGACGTATCCATCTGCGAACTAGAACTCACTATCCAGATTTAGAGCGTTGGGAATTTGTTAACATATATAAAAAAGAGAATTGGTCTCAGAATCGAGCCCTGGGGTACACCTAATCGATTAATGATTCTACTAAATAATTATTTTGTACATTCATTATGCTAACAGCTTGGGATTGATTTGACTCGTCAAGATCATAATCTACACTCCTCATATCATACTTTTTTTAGTTCATTTAGAATTTTTCTTGTAGTTTACAATGCCAAAGGCTTTTAAGATGTTATAGTACAAGCCTACCAAGGTTTTTTGCTATCAGCATTCTCTGTTTAATGATGATGCATGTGTAATCTGTCGTTCTTTTTCTAAGTTGATACACCCTGATTATTTCATCAGTTGAATAAAATATCTTTTGAATCCTCACACTGAAAACACTCCGATAAAAAAAATATAAATTTACTCACCCGCCTCTGCAGCCAGAGCAGCAATATACGGAAACGACGGAGTCTGCATATTCGTCAAAGAAGGCGGTTTTGGAACTGAACAACTAGGCTTCGGGGGTATCATGATCAGATCCCTCCTCGATGAGTCGCTATCCTCGTTTAAAGACGTCGCACTCGAAAAACTATTTGAAGGATTTCCTTCAAGCTCCGTTACACACTCCGCAGAAACCTTGTTATCATCTGACGACTTGGCCTTGACATAACTCAGATGAAGCACAGTCTGAGCACGTTCTATATCAGAAACAGTAATGATATTGCCGAGCTTGCAATGGTCGGTGCCCTTGTCGACCAGGGCGTGCATTATCTCCCTCATCGGATTGGCATTTTCCGTCTGGGTTTTGCTGCCGAGCAGAAACAGTTCGACGAACGAGTTGGAGGTCATGAAGACGCCCAGAACTTTCAGAGCGGCGAACTGTAGGAACGCCAACCTCAAACACTCTCCTTCTAGATCGAGGAGGCGTTTCTCTAACCGTTTCGTTTCAGCGCTGTCCGTCTCATTTCTCGTCTGTCCCTCGTCTATGATAGTCGACTCGCTCTGGGAGCTGGTGATCTTCTCCGTGCTGATGCGCGTCACCTCGCCCATGATGTTGGAAACCATCTGGTTCGTAAGCGACTCCACCGTTTTGGGACGCTCGGCGGTGCTCTGGTTGTGGAGCTGAGAGTCGGAGCTGCACCGCAAACCTTCGGACTGAGAGGATTTCTAAGTAAATAATCATTTTTTTGTGGCAAAGTATTATTTGGCATTATTTTATTTAAACCTAAACTCAAACACAACACTTTTATGATTCTCTACCAGACAGCACTGTTAAGAACCACAAATGCGTTGCTAGACTCAACTGTTCTCAAAGGAGAAGCTTGAATTAGGGTGATGACAGCTCTCTTTACGAAGACGCCATCTATGGCATCGACGGAAAACTCAACCCTCGAATATGTATAAAAAACTTCATTCAGCAGTTACTGTTCTTTTAAAATCCAATATGGTCAGGCAATTTATTGAACAACTTGATTTCCATTAATTAAGGACTTTATTACGTTGCTGTTAATCTATACAGAGTGTTTCAAATTCGATCCTCACCATTGGGATCACGGAAACTATGAGAGATACGAAGATGGTTAAATTGGGGCAAAGTGGTGCATTTACCTGACTAACAATATGCCGTTGAGAAAGAGTATATCCAGAATTATCTGAAAAAAATAGAAATTTCAGAAAATGGTTTTTATTTTTTCCGTCTTTATTTTTCGAAGGATAAGAAAATAAATTGCACTTTCACATTGCCACCTTTTCCCTGCTACATAATGGTGTTTTCAGATTTGCTATCCGCCGTTTCGTCTTCCGGCCACCACCATCAACTTTATTTTTTTTTACGGGCGCTACATTGAATTCTTTCTGTTTTGAATAGAACCAGATTTTACCTTTTCAATGATGTATCATAAGTTATCAATATTTTTCGATAAATTGGAGATAATGGAAAAAATTAATTCTTATTATAATAGGCTTTGAGACTTTGATGTTTCTAAATTTGACTTTCAATTTGTTAAACTCAATGACATTTTGTTATTGTATAAGTAGTCATTGAATAATATTCAAAGACGGGTACAGTCGTGTTATCATGAACAAGGCCAGCATTTTGAGCATTTGCTGTGATTTACTTTTTTTGTCTTTACATTTTAGTTAATTATTATTAGTTCAAAGTTTTATTTTCATTGAAAAGGACACAAT